TAATGTGATTTTAAATATCAACAATTAATGCCATTTGCATAGGGTTAATGCATATTTCTGATAATTATCTAAAATAATTTTATTTCCTATGATAATATTTCTTTTAATTTGCTAGGTAAAATGCAATATGCAAACTCATAGATTTTGGTACATATTTCAATACTGTCTTCTAATGTACCAATTTTGATTATTTTACTCAAAATCTACCTCTAAGTATTATCATAAAGTCCTACTAGTTTACTAAGTTTAAAAAATGTCTGCCAAATTAATAACATTGTATGTTTCTCTTCTCACATGGGACTTCAAGCATCTTCATATATGTGTTGAACATTTGTTTTTACATTTTAGAGCATTGTCTGAGCACATGATTTTCTCATTACTCAACTGGTCTTTAGAAAAAATATCAAATGCTTTGGAAGAGTTCTGGAGACATATAAGGCATAAATCATTTGCCAATATACATATTGTAAAGAGTTTCCCTATTTATCAAACTTTACATCTTTTCCTTAAAGGGTTTTAATTTTTAGCATACATAAATTGAGGCACTTTTTATTTGGTCAGCTTGATCAACCTTTCCAGAACTAAAACAGAAATATTTTCCTAAGATAAATAACTTTAACGGGTATAAAATCATGCACTTCAGCTATTATAAAGATGTAAACTAAACATCCTCATTCTAAATTACTAAAAAGTATGTCTAACTTCTTAGAGGATTGTCATCAAGATGCTATCTTTCTGAAGTATAGTCATCAAAACACTATCTTCTGAAGTCCAGTCTTTATGGACACAGAGAAATACACCTGTTGAGGGAAAATAATAAACATTTACAGCTCTGGTGTAAGAAAACTAGAGGTGATGGCAAAATAAATAAAATCAGCTGACCAGCACCATTCTTATAGCTAACAGTACAGTCTACCAGAATGATAGAAGCAGAAGTCCAAGTGGAAAGGTAAATATACATAAGTTAAAAACTACTTCAGGGTTGACAGAGCTGCCACCTGGGCCATGGAGACATCTGGACCAGGCTGCAGCAGATGACCATGTCATGATCCATGGCCCTACTGCCTGGCCTGGAATGTGTTGATGTCCATTGCCCCTGTTACCATTGTAGACAGTGAGAAAACCAGAGCTCTGGACAGAACCCTGAGGCCATGTTGGTGTCTGAAGGTCATGCAGATGCCATGGCCTCAGTATTAATGTTAGGACTATGTTGTCATTAGGGTTAGTGTTAGTCTTAGGGTTAGTGTTAGATCCAGGTTTAGGTTCAGCATTAGGACTGGTGGCATGATGTTAGGGTGACAGGTAGCTTTGGTTAGATCAGAGCTGGTGTTAGCCTTATACTGATAAGTCTTGGTGTAGCATTTGTGTAGGGATACATTTAATGTTAGTCAGTCATTGAATTCATGGTTAGTTTTAGTGTTTAGGTATATGTAGAGTTGATTTTTGTTGTTTTCGTTTAAATAGCATTTTTAGGTTGGTTGTGGTAGTGCAATACTTTAACTCCAGTAAATAGGAGGCAGAGGCAGGTAGATCTATGTAATATACATAGTGAGTTCCAGGATAGCCAAGACTACATAGAGAGAGTCTATCTAAAAAAAGGTTTTACTACCAAAGAAAGTATTATTGCAAATGTATGGTTCTTAACAGCATATAAAATAACAAAATAAATAAACACATTGGAAGTCTTTTCTTTTAGTAATCAAATGTATCTGTAACAACCCATGCAAAAGCCAAATACAAAATTAAAGCTTGATTCACAAATTAGATCCAAATTATTGCAAAAGTCAAATCTAAGATATTAAATATTTTAATTGATAATTTATTATATTTTTTCGAGACAGAGTTTCTCTGTATTGTTTTGGAGACTGTCCTGGAACTCGTTCTGTAGACTAGGCTGGCCTCGAATTCACAGAGATCTGCCTGCTTCTGCCTCCTGAGTATTGGGATTAAAGGCATGAACCAGATAATTTATTATATTAACCAATAAAGACAAATTTTAATATTGAATTTGTGCCTCAAATGGTGATTGGGGAGGTTTTGCATGACCACCAGTTGTTGTGGAAAGAAATAAACAGGAGTAGACTATGCTCATGGGTATAGAATGCCAAGGAGAAAGCCAGTCATGATCTCTATTCTGCTCTATATAATGTGTACTTCCGCCAACACCAGGAATGGATGACATAGCATGTGTCACATGAATGAAAAAGAGAGGAAATAGCACAACATTTTAAGAGTAAAAAATTCTCACATTTTCTTCTTTCTACCTCATTTTCAGGGTTAGGCAATGTTAGATCTATAATGGATGGGATAAAGGTTGGGTCTTTCTTCATCCCTCCCCCTCTCATGGATAGTGCTATTATAATGGAATACCTTTTGGGTGAGCCAGTAATTGGCATTCCTCCATGGCTTCTGCATCATCTCTTGTCTCTAGGTTCCTGCCCTGTTTGAGTTCCTGTCCTGTCTTCAATGATGAACAGTGATACAGAAGTGATTTAAAAGCCAAATAATCTCTTTCTACTTAACTTGCTTTTTGTTTGTTGGTTTTGGTGTTTTATCACAATAATAGTAACCCTAACTAAGACAAGTTGGTACCAGGCAAGGCATATTGCTGTGATGACCTCACTTTGTTCTTTTGGGGAGGATTGTGGAAGGACTTTGGAATTTTGTGCTAGAAAAACGATTGAGTGTTGAGAGCTCAGTGAGCTATTCTGTAGGAGGTTGGAATATAAGCATGTTGAGGGAAGTGTAGATGATGGAAGCTGGCTTGTGAAGTTTCAGAGGGAAGCAACGACTTTACTAGCCCTTTTTTGTGACAAATATGTGGTGTCTAGTCAGCTGGAGCTGAACAATCAGCTGTGATTAACAAGAGACTAGTCCACTAAAGTAGAACCTTTAACTTACTGGGGCAATGGATGCTGGTCAGCTGGAGCTGAGAAATTAACAGTTATTAGGAAGGGACTACTACCACTCAGGGGATATCTTTTGGGAAGTATTTGTGGAGAGTCAGCACACAAAAGCTGTGTTCCAGAAGTGGCCAAGATTGTGCCTCACGCTGGCACTGGAACTTGGTAGTGTAGAAGTTATCCAGGTGGTACTGGTTTTGAAGGCATAAGGGCATCATGGAGAGCAGCTGAGGCTTGGCACTGTGAAAGACCAGTAGACACCACTAGTGAAGGTGCAGCCTCAGTAGCAGTTGGAGGCCCAGAATTGGCTTAGTACCATGAAGAGAGCCTAAGAGAGGCTAGTGGTGAACGTGCAGCCCAGTTATACCAGAAGACCCTAACATTTTGGAGATACCATTACCATGGGATGACCACCAAGAACAGTGTCAGTGGTGGGTGGGAGCTTGTAAAAGCTAGAAGACAAATGTGTGTCCTGTAGAGATCAGAGCTAGAGAAGTGATCCAGTCACCTTGGAGAAGACTGGAAGATCATGAGTAGATCCCAGACATTGGACATTGTGTTATTTACATTGTTGGAGTTCTGATTTTGCTTTTATCTGATTGTGACTGTGCCCTGGTTCTTCCTTTTGAAGTAAGAAAGTAATTCATTTATAGGAGCCCACAGTTGAGAGACTTTAAACTTTAAAAAGAGAGTCAGATATTTTTTTCAATTTCACAGAGAATTGAGATTTAAAACAACTGGATAACTTTGAAGGAACAACTTTCAATGGATTTGAAGTTATAAAGTCTGTGGAACCAAATTTAAGTTTTTGATGTGAGATATTAGGGATGAATGAGGGTGGAAAGGTTATGGCTTAACAAGTGATGTGTTTGTGTGTCAAATAAACAAGGGGGCCATTTTGCTGGATAGTTTTATGTCAACTTGGCACAAGCTAAAGTCATTTGTTATGAGGAAAACTCAATTAAGAAAATCCCTTTCTAATATTGGACTGTAGACAAACCTGTAGAGCATTTTCTTAATTAGTGATTGGTGGGGGAGGGCTCATCTGATCAAGCATTCTATAAGAAATCAGGTTTAGCAAGCCAGGAAGAGCAAGTCAGTAAGCAGCACTCCTCCATAGCTTCCTGCCTCTAGATTCCTATCCAGTTTGAGTTCCTGTCCTGACTTCCTTTGATGATGAACCATTATATGGAAGTATAAGCCAAATAGGCCCTTCCTCCTCAATTTGCAGCACATCTCTGCTTGTTAGAGGAGAACTGCTACATAGGAATTCAAAGACATTTTCCTAATGCCCAGTGCTGAGTCTGTATCAGATGCCTGACACTATGCTGAAGTATTTACACAGATTATCTTACATGATGTCACTGATATACTATATCTCTTTTACATGTGGGAAAACTACAGTCTACTCATTTACTTTGATCATGGTGTTCCATCGCAGCAAGAGGAACCCTAACTAAAATGGATTCTAACATGGCATCAGTGCACTTCAGAGGGATGTGAGAAGGTGTAATGAGAATTGTGTTGACCATACAGCAGCTGCTGAGGAAAGGCCTGCTCCCTCCTCCCAAAGTCTTCTGTACCTTACTTTTCCCCCAAGGTAATATAATCACATTGCTGGAGTTATGACCATTACCCAAGGATCCAAGGATATGATCTAGGCTTGATTGATGACAAACATGAACCCCTTTCTTTTGAATACCTACTATCTGCCATCACGTATTCCCATGCCAACCTGCACTGCTCCTTGAGAACCCTGCTAATCAGTTCTCAGATAATGTTTATTCCTTTATTCTTCTGCCAAGAAAAGGAACACAATCTCTTCTATTTAACTCACTTTATTGGATTCTACCCTGAAAATGCTTGCTGTCTTCTAATTAGTTTATTTGGTACAGAGTTCTGATGCCTGCAGCCAGTCACACAATGCACATCTATGAGGTGCTGGAAAACTAATCAAAGCTTGAGCCCATGATAGGAAAGTAAGGGCTTCTGTATATGGGCCTTACCACAACTGCACCTCAAACTCATCACTCACAGACACACAGGTTCCTTCCTGCATGTACTCAGAAAGCCTTTTTGCTTTCATCACAATTGCAGATGTGAATGGAACAGCGTGTTACTACCTTTGGAAGACATATTAATCCAGTTTGCTGAGACCGTGACTGATTTTATCTGGTATCAATTATTGGGCAACAGAAACATTAAGATGCAGGCACATCTTTTCCTGTAAGTAGTGGGTGTGACTAAAGCAATAAACCTGAATCATTTCTAAACATGACTACCACTTTGGAAGCTTGCTCTTGATTACAAAAATTATCAGCTCAAGGGAAAGTTTTGCCAGGTTGGCACCCTTTCCACTGACTATACTATTCTTCCCCTCACCCTCCCCCCACAGCTTTTAATTTAGGCTTCACACCACACCTCTCATTTCATAATGATTTGAAACAATGATGATATCATTAGGAGAGAGAAACAATACACACTGTCTGTGGTAGTCCAGACTTTTCAAAAGCATAAAGAAGGAGAAAATTTTTACTCAACCTTCAGGAAAGTGGAGAGGCAAGATGCGCACTCAGTCAGATTAGATCTTCTTGCTGTATCAATGGCTTCTCATTCCTGCAGAATGTTTTCCAAGAAGGCTTATCTCCTGTCTCATGAGGAGCACATCTCTGTTTGTTAGAGGAGAGCTGTGACATAGGAATTCAAAGATGTTCTCCTAATGCCCAGTACTGAGGCTATATCAGATGCCTGACACTGTGCTGAGTGATTTACATGAATTATCTCCCATGACATAGCTGATATTATTATGTCTATTTTACACTTGGGGAAACTACAGTCTAGAAAGATGACATCACTGATAAAATACAGAACAAGGATTTGAATGAAGTCACACTAAATTGAGAGCTACATTCTTAATTGTGGTTCTCAGTTTTGACAGAGAGAAGTGATTCTTCCAAGCCAGAATTTCCACGATCCTTATGGTCTGCTGAATATGCAATACCTATTTTCCTGTTAAGTTCTAGGTTGGAATATGTTGACCAACAGAGTATAATGTATTCATAATCCCACTTATAGACTTTCCAGCCATAAAGTCCTCATGAATTTGTACAAATACATAGATTTTAAATGGCCCTGTCTTTAGTGTAAAAAGGTAGATCAACACACAGCATTAGTCATACATGTGAGTTAATAGAACTACTAACTTCTTACAATGTTTACAATTCTGGTAAATTTTTCCTTTTCAAAAAAATATCAGATACTGGTACTCAAAAATATACTGATGAAGCCTATTCATGGACTGAACATTGCATTTTTTATGGTGTCCCCCATCTAAAGTGCAGATATCACCAGCACAGTAATATATGGAGTCATGAATAATCTTATGTAAGTAGTTTTATTATACTCTTCAGTTCTCATGAACCAAGAAATCTTTGAAGAATGCACAATGAGTCTCAGACCAGAGCAAAAATATCCAATACATGAGTAGAACTTGCCTCAAATTGGGGAGTAAGGATTCACATTGACCATCATGCGCAGAGCAACAATGCTTCTAAGCACAGGCAACTGTTTCTGTGTTCTAACTTAAGAGAGAAATACTTGAAATGCAGTGCTGATATACAAGTGAATTTTACAAGTTATTTATAGCCTTTCGATATTTGTATAAACAGTATTCTTAGATTCTATTCCTAATGGTTCTTTTCTTTGTAATAGGATATACCAGGGTATTGTTGAAGCTTTCCTGGTAAATACAAGGACAGAGTTGGACTGCTACTTCTCGAGATGTGGAGTAAAGCACTACAGAGTCCCCAGAGAGCTCATGAAGAGCAGAAGACCCCATCCTCCTCCAGCAATGGAGAGGAGTGTCAACCCATGACTGAGACATATGAAATTTTACTTCCACCTGTGTTGGGGAAGTCCTGTGTATATGTCAATAAAGCACTGTCTGGCCAATAGGAATCTAGATAGGTGGGGCTAGGAATCCAGGAGGATTCTGGGAAGGAGAAACACAGGAGAGTTCAAGATGTAACCGCCATGGGGTAGGAATCCCGGAACTATTCTCCGGTAAGAGACATACTTAGATTAACAATTATGGGGTAATTACTTAAGTCAGAGCTAGCCAGTAAGAAACAAGCAAGGCCAACAGCTTCATAATTAATACAGTGTCTTGTGTGTTATTTGGGGACTACAATGTGGCAGAGCCCAGGCGACTGGCGGGTGATATACCAAAGCAGCTAGCAAAGAAAAAGCTTCTCTTTACACACCTGATAATATGAAATATAATTTCCCTGATGATACAGTATCAAAAATGAGGGAAAAGATACAAGATTTAGAGTATTGCAGCAATTTTGAAAGGACAAGATTTCAATAGAAGAGTCTTCATTATACTAGCAACTTCAGAGATAACAAATACAATAAAAGATGCAATTACTAGATCCATCCTAAAGAAGACAAGTACACAAGCAAACAGCAAGGTAGAAAATGATGAGAATTACCCAAGAAGAACAAACAAGAAAATAGAAATACCGGGTCAGAAGACATCAGAAGCCAGTGAGACTAAAACACAATCTGACACTGGTGTCACTAAAATTGTGGAAGGATAGGAGTGAGTAGGTGTTTCTGAAAAAGCTTGAAGTAACTAAAGCTGGAAGATTCTCAAATTTGACAAGAGCCATAATATAAGGATCTGGAGAGTTTTTATCAAGCCTTCAGCAAGATAAATCAAAGGAAATTTACTTCAAGGCATACCATGCCCAAACTTTTGAAAACTAAAATCTAAAGGCTGAAAGAAAACACCACCATCAATGAGTAAAGCAATTCAGAAGCTTGTGAGTTTATTTTTTTCAGAAATCAAAAAGGCCAGAAATAAGTACAATGTATAAAATTTCGTGAAGAAAATAATCACCAATTCTGAATTTTACACTATTGGGTGAACAGCTCTTTTTCTGTGGAGATGCAAACAAACATCTCTTCTTCCAAAATTAGCACCAATGACAAAACAAAGAACAGTTTCACCCACATTCAACTGGTCTCCCACTAAATTGTGTGTGTGTGTGTGTGTGTGTGTGTGTGTGTGTGTGTGTGTGTGTGTGTGTATTCACAGGCCAACTTTGTGGAGTCAGTTAAACTCAGATCACCAGGCTTGTTCTGTATGGGCCTTTACTATCTCATGAGTTTTTTGGAGTTTCTTACAGAGTATGGTAAGAGAATACTATGTCAGTGCAAAAATGCAACTCTAACCTCAAAGGGGACCAGAGAAAGTTTTTTTCCATGAAGTCAAACATGACTATCCGTGGCTCAAGAATACAGATTCTGGTTACCCCCATTTCCATGTTCCTATGTGGTAACAGTCTCATGAACTACTTAAAGACTCAGAAAGCAGAAATTCATAAATCATGAAACATTTCAAATACAGTTGGAAATTCAGGTGTGTTCTTCTATTATAGTGAAATATAAAACTCTTAACTAGAGGCCTCATATGTTATTTGATGACATGCTCAGTCTTTTGGTTAGTGGAAGCTAGTGTTACATGCCAAAGGTTTCACCAGTTAGTCACAAGGATTTTAGACAGACATACAGGTGAACAAGAAATTGCTATTAAGGGGACTAAAGCTAACCCAAGATAAATTGAAAGTAGACTCTTAGACATGCAACCTTCCAACCTTACTGCTATCACTAATGATCTAACCAGTCAATTAGCCTTAAAAGAGCTTCAATGGAAAGCGACATCTTTTTTTATTTAAATTTAAATTAAAAACAAGGTTGCTTCATATGTCAATTCCAGGTCCCTCTCCCTTTCCCTCCCTCCTCTCTCGCCCTTGCACCAACTCCCCCAAATACCCCCTCATTTCCCCAGGGAGGGTGAGGCCCTCCATAGGGGTGTCCATAGTCTGTCATTTCATCCAGGGCAGGGCCTAGACCCTCCCCCAAGAGTCCAGGATGAGAGTGTATCTCTCATTGTTGGATGGGAGTCCAAAGTCCATTTGTATACACGGAATAAATACTGATCTACTACCCAAGGCTCAATAGATTACCTAGGCCTCCTCAATGACACCCACATTCAGGGGGTCTTGATCAGTCCTATGCTGGTTTCCAGGCATCAGTCTGGGATTCAAGAGCTAACCCTTGTCAGGTCAGCTGTTTCTGGGAGTTAAGCCAGCCCAGGCTTAATCCCTTTGGTCATCAGTCCTCCCTCTCTGTCACTGGATTTTTTTTTTAATTTTATTTTCCAGTTTAAATTTAGATAAGAAACAAGGTTGCTTCACAAGTCAGTTCCAGGTCCCTCTCCCATTCCCTCCCTTCCTCCCGTGCCCTCCCCCCCCCCCCGTTATCCCCTCATTTCCCCAGGGAGGGTGAGGCCCTCCATGGGGGTGTGCACAGTGTGTCACTTCATATAGGGCAGGGCCTAGACCCTTCCCCAAGAGTTCAGGGTGAGAGTGCACCTCACATTGTTCTATGGGAGTCCAAAGTCCGTGTGTATACTTGGGATGGGTACTGATCTGCTGCCCAAGGCTCAGTTGATTCCCTAGGCCTCTTCACTGACACCCAGATTCACGGGGTCTTGATCAGTCCCATGCTGGCTTCCCAGGCTAATGCCTGGGATTCAAGAGTCAACCTTTGTTTGGTCAGCTGTTTCTGGGGGTTAAACCAGCCCAGTCTTAATCCCTTTGATCATCAGCCCTCCCTCTCTGTTACTGGCTTTCCTGAGTTCAGCTCAGTACTCAACCAAGGGAGTCTGCCTCTTCTTCGATCAGCCACTAAATAAAGTTTCTGTTTCCCAGACTCTCTGGCCATAGGATTGTAGGCTGGCACTCCCCAGATCTATGTCTAAAATCCATATATGAAAGAGTACATGCCATGTTTCTCTTTTTGTGACTGGGTTACCTCACTCAGGATGGTTTCTTCTAATGTCAACCATTTGCCTGCGAATCTCATGATTCCATTATTTTTTTTCTGCTGAATAGTACTCCATTGTGTAGATGTACCACATTTTCTCTATCCACTCTTCAGGTGAGGGACATCTAGGTTGCTTCCATGTTCTGGCAATTACAAATAAAGCTGCTATGAACATAGTGGAACAGACATCTTTGTTGTATGAAAGGGCATCTTTTGGATATATGCCTAAGAATGGAGTTGCTGGGTCTTGTGGTAGGTTTATTCCCATTTTTCTGAGGAATCTCCACACTGATTTCCAAAGTGGCTGAACCAGTTGGCACTCCCACCAGCAATGGAGGAGTGTCCCCCTTTCACCACATCCTCTCCAGCATAAATTGTCATTGGTGTTTTTGATTTTAGCCATTCTGACAGGGGTGAGATGGTATCTGAGAGTTGTTTTGATTTGCATTTCCCGGATGGCTAAGGATGTTGAGCAATTTCTCAAATGCCTCTCAGCCATTTTAGACTCCTCTATTGAAAACTCTCTATAGTTCTGCAGCCCACTTTTTAATAGGGTTCTTTGGTGTTTTGGAGACTTGCTTTCTTGAGTTCAGCTCAGTGCTTAGCCGTGGGAGTCTGCCTCTGCTTCCATCAGCCACTGAATGAAGGTTCTGTTTCCCAGACTCTCTGGTCATGGGATTGTAGGCTGGCACTCCCCAGATCTATGTCTAAATTCCATATATGAAAGAGTACATGCCATGTTTCTCTTTTTGTGACTGGGTTACCTCACTCAGGATGGTTTCTTCTAGTGCCATCCATTTGCCTGCAAATTTCAGGATTCTACTGTTTTTCTTCTGCTGAAGAGTACTCCATTGTGTAAATGTACCACATTTTCTCTATCCACTCTTTGGTTGAGGGACATCTAGGTTGCTTCCAAATTCTGGCTATTATAAATAATGCTTCTATGAGCATAGTGGAACAGAAATCCTTGTTGTATGAATGGGCATCTTCTGGATATATACCGAAGAGTAGAGTTTCTGGGTCTTGTGGTAGGTTTATTCCCATTTTTCTGAGTAATCTCCATACTGATTTCCAAAGTGGCTGTACAAGTTGGCACTCCCACCAGCAGTGGAGGAGTGTTCCCCTTTCACCATAACCTCTCCAGCATAAACTGTCATTGGTGTTTTTGATTTTAGCCATTCTGACAGGAGTAAGATGGTATCTCAGAGTTGTTTTGATTTGCATTTCCCAGATGGCTAAGAAGGTTGAACACTTTCTCAAGTGACTCTCGGCCATTTTAGACTCCTCTATTGAGAATTCTCTATTTAGTTCTGTAGCCCACTTTTTAATTGGATCCTTTGGTGTTTTGGAGAGTTGCTTCTTGAGTTCTTTGTAAATTTTGGAGATCAGCCCTCTGTCAGAAGTGGAATTAGTGAATATCTTTTCCCATTCTGTGGGCTGCCTTTTTGTCTTGCTGACTGTGTCCTTTGCCTTACAGTAGCTTCTCAGTTTCAGGAGGTCTCATTTATTAATTGTTTATCTCACTGTCAGTGCTACTGGTGTTATGTTCAGGAAGCTGTCTCTTGTACCAATTCGTTCAAGGGTACCACCCACTTTCTCTTCTAAGAGGTTCAGTGTGGCTGGATTTATGCTGAGGTCTTTTATCCATTTGGATATATCTGCTTCTTCTACATGCCAGCATCCAGTTATGCCAGCACCATTTGTTAAAGATGCTGAAAAGCGACATCATTTTAAGCATAAATATCCTACTGATATCACCCCATTTACTTTTTTAATTAAAATATAATTTCATCATTTTCCTTTCCTATCTTCTTTAAGAAACATGTCACTCTAAGTGGTCAGATCCCACAGGCTGAAGAAATCCAGACCATAACTTCCTGGAGCATTCTCTGGAGGCAGAGTTAAGGAGTCATGATGTGTTGTGACTTAAGAATTCCTAAGTTATCGTCCTCAGCAGTGCTTAACATCACTATGCTTCTTTTCACATAGGCTATGCTATGCTGAGCTAAATGAGCTGGTGTGGCACTTCCTAACACCCTCTGAAAGGATCTAAATGCCAAATATTTTCCTTTGTTTTGGAGATTTCCCTAAGGGCTCTTCTCTGGGTCTCTTCCAGTCATC